ACACGCTTGTGACAACTAGGAGATCACGTTGGAACACAGTGCATCTCCGCTATAGTGCCCACGTGCCGCCACACGGGCTAGCAGGGCGTGGGTGTCCTAAGCGATACCAGTGGCCTGAAAACTTCAAAATCAAGGGCCACCCTTCCGGCTAGAGATGCTACTCGTGGAGTGGAGCATTTTATTCAACAACGGCAAAGTCCAAAATGGACGGCAACCAGCCGGAATTTCACTTTGAAATCCGACCAAAACCTAGGTTCCAAAATCAATTCCTAAAATGCTACAATCGTTCAATTCCTACCCAACAGACAGCTAGGGCTTGCAGAGAGGGTTCGAAAACATACCTGATTCGACGGAGGAGCTTGCCGAAAATGTCGTGGCGTCGTCGGGAACAACTGGAGAAAAACAGTCGATATTACCGACTGGTTTCGAGCTTTCCAGCCGGGAAATCTGGTTGGTAGTGACCGCCAGCTCGAGTCGATTCGAAAGGGACCACCTCCGTCCGTCTGGGCTGGTCGGATGGTGAAGTTATCCAGCCATACAGTGGCCGAGTCTAGGTTTCACAGAAGGAGCCTCGCGGGGGAGGGGAAGGGAGAGAGAGAGGGAGAGAGAGAGAGAGAGAGAGAGAGAGAGAGAGAGAGAGGCCCAGAGGAGAGAGGGGTTTTAAAATTTGAGATGGCAAATTACCATTTTGCCCCTCACTGTATCTTGATCGTATTTTCTTCGTTATAACTCCGATTCGAGCTCACTACGTGTCTACGAACTCGTATCAACGTGCTATATGCAACGATACCATTGAAATTCCCAAATTCCTTCCTAGTCAAATCATATAAAATAGTCTGATGGTATCCTAGTCGTTTCCTTGAATGAAATAATAATTCAGAATTAATTAGGGATCGGGTTGTTACAGCACGTTTCATACCAAGCTTATACCACTTGGTCCCGAATGCCCATTTATATGAATTAACACCTATTTCAATCATCCCACAATTCCCACTGTGGGATCCCTGAGACCACCACCTACCAAGAGTTAGACTCAACTACATAAAAGATTATTTCCATTACCCTCTTTTTCACAATTATTTTTCTTAACTCTAGAATTCTAGCCAAATTCCATGTCATGATATAATTATGCCCTTCACAACAATGTAGCCATTTAAAATATCACCAACGCATAATAATTATGCCAACATTGTTCAAACAGTTAAGAGTACGTAAACATCCAATACAAGGAATGTAAATCAAATAGTACCACATTAACCAAATAGTTAACAATATATAAACATCCAATATCAAGAACATTATACAATATCAAGAATTAATATCCATTATAATATCACACATAATATAGAGCTCATGAAATTTAATTAGATCAATTTTTGCAAAAGGCCCCCAAAAAACCCCTACCTTGATTCCAATGTTTTTACAACGTAAGATAACTCTACAATCCAACACCTTGAGTTTCCCCAAAGTCTTTCTTGTTCTACCAACACTTTCTAATATTTTTCCTCTTCTTTCTTCTCTCTATCACTTTCTTGTTCTATCATGCACTACCATGCATGTCCTAAAAATAAGTTAAGGAAATGATTCCTATTTATAGTACAATAAGAGTCGGCTAAAGATGAGATAGAAGGTGAAAGTCGGCATATCAAGTAGGTGGTGTCAATTGGCATGTGCATACGACTGTAATGCTGCCAGCTATAAGAAATTATAGCAGGAGGTGTTGAAAGCTAAGCAAACTCAAGATATATAGATGACAACTCACAAGGTGATAGTTCCTTGCTTTGCTATAAAAAAAAAATGGATATATCTATCACTAGTATCAATCAAAGTTGATCACTACAATCCTTAGCCACCAAGTATTGATAACATGCAGGAGTTGCAACGAAAATAAAACATATTCATATATTTATTTAAAGTATATATTTATTAATGATAATATTTATGAAAGTATAACATGTGCCAAGACAATTATATATATAATTTTCTTAAATATAATATATATATATAATTCTAAAATACAGGACTTCACAGTATTATACAAAACGTTTTTGATGGAATGTTTAAGCTAGCCTATTGTCATTACTTTCGTGTTTCAGGATTGAGAAAAGGTTGTTTTATGCTTTGGATCTTGGAGGAACAAACTTAAGTGTGCTAAGGGTGCAATTGGGGGGGAAGGGTCGTGGATTTATTAGTCAAGAATTTACGGAGGTCTCAATTCCTGGAAATCTTATGGTTGGGACTTCAGATATAAGTAGTTTGTCACTAAGAATGCCATTGTAAATCAAGGTGCTTTATGCGAAACATTTGTCAAGTCTAAAGGATGATTGTGATTTCAGTACCTAGAGTGTATCTTGTTTCCAGATGCTTATAGTGTTTGAGTTATATGAAATTATTGGTCTCTTTTGTTTTTGTTTCCTTGCAGACTTTATGTCTAAAACCAACCAGATGATTATTTTTGCACTGGAATGTTAAGTTTGGCTTTAGTAGATAAAGGTCCTAGCTCACAGAGTTTCTATGATATCAAGATCATTTATATTTAGTGATACTTGTTCTTTTAAACGCGTATATTTCATGTACAATAGATACCTCAATGCCTTAAATTAGATAACCTAAGGTAAATTTAAAGTAAATTTGTTGTATCAAGGTAATGTCACTTGGGCCTTGTAATTACCAATGTTTGATAGTGGGGAAAAAGGTTCATGGGAGTTTAGAGCTATTTATTTGTTAGCTTTACAACTTTAAATTTCTGCATAATTATACATTCCTTGCACAGAAGCCACACATGCTAATTTTCCTGAGTCGACTTGAAAGTTGCATGACAAATCATCACTATTCGCATATAAATTATTCATATTTTCCACATATAAACTCATCTCATCAACCAAAAAGTTCTCATCATTATTATTTCCACACTGAATATAGGTAGCATTTTCTTTTGGATTCAAATCAACAACCTCCAAGAACTACTCATCTTAACATAAGAGAAGTTTACGCACAATCTCAAAAGTATTACAAATATATATAATATCTCAAGCCTCTCCACTCATACGATGACTTAATTTTGGGTTGAATGATGTAATATAATTCTATCTTGGCAAAGGTAGAAAATTTTCACGGAGAGGGCACCTCATATATTAAAGTATATTTTTCTTTAGGGACACAACCAAACTAATTTTTTTACTTGATACAAAATTCCTAATTTTAATTTATATACTTCATTATTTTAAATGTTATATTAACTATCTCCTCATTATTGATCCTAGCAAAAAATCAAATGAAATATACTTTATCAAAAATACTCACTAAGAAAATTTGAACGATAATTAATCACAACAAAATCTAGAATCGAAATACGACAATAAGAGATGTTGAAAGGGTATCAATGATAGTGATAAAGGAAAAAAAAGAAAAATACAAAGAAAGAAAGGGGCACTTAAAATTTGGTTAAGAAACGTACAATTGTATTAATAAGACAATATCCTAATGAAGATTTGGGAGGGGGCATATGCCCACCCTAGGCCTTAGCTAGCTCCCTCCGCCACTGCTTGTAATCTTGTTTGATTGCGGTTATGTGACTTAAAATCTTTTGTTTAATAAATTTTGAGAATTAAGAGTTTGATGTCATACATATGTGAAAAACGGCACAAAAATTGTGTCGATTGTTACTATTACTCAGCAAAATCATTGTTGTTAATTACACATAGATGAAGAGACTATTCATGAGAGTATAAACATGTTAACAAAGTAAGATTTACGTAATCTACCTCAAGGATGAGAATATCTTTCCATATATCATTGAGATTACCCTTTATACCCGGAATTTCCTTGAGATAGGAATTCAACACAGCAAAAATAAAAAATGCTTGAAATCCACGGCATTGTTTCAAAATAGAAAGAAAGAAGAGGAAGAAAATCAAAACTTTCTTTCATAGTTGGGCATAATCGCAATCCTTCAATTTCCACATGTAGGTTGTCCTTATCTCCCTAAAAACACTACCAGGTCCAACTTCTCCTTGTCCAATTTGACTCTCAATCTCACGTGTCCAAAATAAAATATTTGATAAATCAATGTGCTGAGTGGGCCGACTCAATTTCAAAGTTCCCCCCGATTTTCAGAAAACATACTGCACACCACCAAATCAAAAAAGAACTTGAGTAAGAAAGAATGACGTCAAATTTAAAGGATTTGTGGATTTTTAGGGTTTTTATTTATTTATTTATTTATTTTTTGCATATACTTCTATAAAATAGAAGCACCGCAAAATAGTACAAAGGATAGAAAAACCATCCAAAACCTAAATGTTAGAGACAGGGACAAAGCATAACCTTTAAAAAAGATTGACCCCACCAAATAGCAATTCAGCAACTAAAAGCAAAAACTTATAAGAGAAAAAAAAATTAGAAAAAAAATGAAATTAGAGAAAGAAATTACATTTGAAAGAACTCGAAGTATTAAGTGGGTCATATTTTTTAGATGTTGATAATGCGAAATCAAACTGAATTAGTTGTTTCCATCATAGTTTAAATTCTTGTATTATTGCATATTGATGTGTAAAAAATAACCAATATGTAATAATACACGAATTGAATAGTACTGTAGTTTTTAAAAAATTTCTCTCCTACTTGCAAATGAGAGAGTAAGTTACTCAATTAGTCCAATAATTAAATCCTTACTTTTAGAAAGGCTCTATTACTAAGAGAAAAAATGCTTAATCCTCTATAATATAGTCCGATTTTTTTACTTGTTATTTCCGCTCTATCAATAAAACAATATCACACTTTGAATAAAATAAAAAATAGTGCTGCAGTTTTTTACCCGCCCCAAATTATTACGTCATTGCAACAGAAGATAGTAATAGTCTGTTTACTAGTTTAGTTGCCGCCACCCACCGCCCACCGGAAATGACTCGACGCTCATCCTTCGTAAGCTAACAAATGAGACAGCAATGTCGCCAAAACCAGCAGACGCAGTCTTAGTTTCCAATCTTACACTATTTTGTTTAGTGGTAAAAATGAATTTTCCATTTTTATTATTTAAATCCTCCACATTGTCTACACTTCAGAACCGTAACGCCAAATCCAATGCAACCCACACACCACCAACCGGCCTCTCGTCACGTGGCAGTGATCGGCGCCGGAGCGGGCGGCCTGGTCGCCGCACGTGAGCTCCGGAGAGAGGGTCACAACGTCGTAGTCTTCGAGCGAGGAGACCAAGTAGGCGGTACTTGGGTCTACACTCCGAATGTGGAGTCCGACCCAATTGGGCTCGACCCGAATCGGACCAGGGTCCACTCGAGCATGTACCAGTCGCTCAGGACCAACCTCCCAAGAGAGGCCATGGGGTTCCGGGACTACCCATTTGTGGCCATAGAAGAAGATGAAGAGAGAGACCCCAGAAGGTATCCGGGTCACAGAGAGGTGTTGATGTATTTGAAGGACTTTGCGATTGAGTTTGGGGTCTCTGAGATTGTGAGGTTCGAGACTGAGGTGGTGTTTGTGGGTTTGGTGGAGGGTGGCAAGTGGAAGGTGAAGTCCAAGAGTAAGAGAGGTGAGATTGTGGAGGATGAGATTTTTGATGCTGTGGTTGTGTGTAATGGGCATCATACTGAGCCCTGTGTTGCCCAAATTCCAGGTATCAATATCGTTGCTAAAGCTCTGAACTTTGTATTGGTTTCTTTGAGATTTGTTCATGAGGAATATGAATCGAATTGGGTTGTGATCCTTCGGATCTTTTTTATTTATTTAAGGCACAAAGTTTTGGACCTTTAATATTGGTTTAGGTACCTGATTGATTCTGCCTTGTGTGAGTGTACAATTGTATTGGTTGAAGGAAGAAAATTACTTTTGGTATAGTGCAATTTGAGAAGATCTTGATAAAAGGAACTTTTGAGGTTACAGAGTTGAACTTCTCAGCTAAAATTTATGGAATGAGATATTTTTCTTAATGCTGAGTTCAGGCTTGTGTTTTGGTTTTTACTTTTCTTCTTCTGCTTTATGCAATGTACACTGTTTTTCAGGCATCAATACATGGAAAGGGAAGCAAATCCACAGCCACAATTATCGTACCCCTGAGCCATTTCGAGATCAGGTCTGTGTTGCCACTTTCTGCATCCTATAGGAATTTATAACCTACTTGTGTTCTTGTTTTCTTTTTACTCTATATAGTATGTAGCTTATTTTATCCATTTCTTGCTTTGCATAGGTAGTAATTTTGATAGGGAGCGCCACTAGTGCTATTGATATTTCACGAGACATAGCTGGAGTTGCAAAACAAGTCCACATTGCATCTAGATCTGTTGCTGATGAAACCATTGAAAAGCAGCCGGTCTATAATAACATGTGGCTTCATTCTATGGTAAAAGACTTCAGCCATGGCTAAGAATTGGGTGGCTTTGATGGGAAGTTCATCCAGAGAATGTTCAACTTTCTTTGAGCCTGATGCTCAAAGGATGGTTGATTCGAGGTACTGATCATTTTTAAATGTTAAACCAATGCAGATCAAAAGTGTCCAGGAAGATGGTAGTGTTGCATTCCGAAATGGGAGTGTTGTCCTTGCGGATGTCATTCTTCACTGCACAGGGTATACTTGCTTTGGCTTGTTTTGGACTTCATGCTATGTTGTAGTGTTCCATATTGACTGTCAAGTAATGGAAAGTGCACAAAATTGAAATCCCTTTTTTTTTTTACCCTATTTCAAGGTACAAATTTCATTTCCCTTTCCTTGAGACCAATGGCATTGTGACTGTGGATGACAACCGTGTTGGGCCTCTGTACAAGCATGTCTTCCCACCCGATTTGGCTCCGTCACTTTCCTTTGTTGGGTTACCATGGAAGGTTTTTCTCTTCTTTATAATAAATGCCATATTTTTTGTTGCATCTTTTGGTTCATTGTTTTTTTATGGTTGAAGTAAATCTTTGAATATCTCCGTGCCAGGTTGCTCCTTTCCCCATGTTTGAATTTCAAAGCAAGTGGATAGCAGGTATTTTGTCTAACCGAATCGCACTTCCATCGCGAGAGGAGATGATGGAGGACGTCAAAGCTTTCTACTCTTTACTCGAAGCTTCTGGCACCCCCAAGAGATACACTCATAACATTGCTGATTATCAGGTAAATTCACTCTCTTTGGTTGACTGCCTATGTTAGTTATTCTCAACCCATATGACCATAGCACAAATGCATTCGTCATCCGTGGTTGAGAGCACTGGCTACAATGTAATTGCTAAACGATGTCTTGTTTCAGATATCCTTGACTGGATCCCCACATGATGAACTTAAGATAATTTAAGCACACATATCATGTCTAAACATCATATATTAGGTCTTTAAGAACCAAGCAATGTGATTCTTGGCCGTGGACAGAATGCCGTTTCATCTCTCTCTAGTCTGTTGGGAGCCTTCAGTTGCACTAAATAAATCTGCATGTATATTCATTTTGGATATAAATGAAAATACTAATGGGAAGAATAATATGATATATGCTGCTGATCTTTATAACTAAAAAAGGAGTGTAAGTGGATAAAATATGAGAAAAATGAGTGGGGAAATCACCACTCATTATCATTATCTTTTTCCTCTCACCATAAATTTTACTAATCTTCATACTTGTGTCTGTTTATGATGAACGAGATAAATATTGAGTGTTGTTATTCTGCAGTTTGGATACGACGATTGGCTTGCAGCTGAGTGTGGCTGTCCAGCCTTTGAAGAATGGAGAAAGCAAATGTACTTTGTAGCTATAGAGAACTTGTTTGCACGACCGGAGACATACAAGGACGAGTGGGAAGATCACCATTTAGTATTGCAAGCTCATGAGGACTTCAGAAAATACACCTTAAATGGAGTTGAAAATGGATACGTGACATCTAATGATGTCCCGCCCAGTTCAAGGTGAAACAAGCGACCACCTTGTTTCTTTTGAAGTTCATCTTAAATATCCCAGGAAATCTTGATGTGTTCCTGTCCCTCAGTAAGGGGATGTTTAAGTGGTTGGTAAATTTATTTTTTTGGTCAGAAGGGTTTGGGGTCTGGTTCGAATAACAAATGTATGTAATTTTTTTTTCGTCAGAAGGGTTTGCGGTCTTAATTAATCTGAATCATTGATTAATAAATTCATGCTTGAAATGGAAGTTGATGTTCCAATTTTTTTTTCCTTTGTGCTACCAAAACAAATCCCAAAGCACTCGAACTGCCGACATCCGACACGAAGTAAATTACCGCCTCTCTAAGGCCCTAAATAATTCTACTAGGGGCCAACCATAAACAGTAACTCATCCCACACACAGCTTACAGCTTTTAAATGAGATTCGAAGTGTTATATAGTTGGAAGAAAGTCCAAGTAGATGGTTTGATCAAATTCAAGGTGCGAACAGATTGAAAATTTACTTTGGATCCAGCTTAGCTTTTGACTTTAGCATTAATCACATTCGTAATAAATAATTATGAAAATTTTCCAAAGAATTTTTGTAACTTCTTTTTTTGGTCAAGAGAATTTTGGTAACTTCTTAAAACAGCATCACTCGATCACAATTCACAGCCATACGGCCCAAACCCAAAACGCAAGGTACCGTCTTCTGCCAAACTCTCGTCCACAACTCGACCATGCAGCTCGCTCTCAACCCACTGGCCTCCCGCCAAGTGGCCGTCATCG